AAATTTTTATTTTTTTTCATTTTATTTTTTATTAAATTATTTAATTAAATAAAAATATTATCCTTTCCTCTCCTTTATTTTTATCTATCCAAATAAAACTAATATCAACATTTTGCTTCCCTTCACTTCTCCTCCCTTTCCTTCCCCTCCCTTCTCCTTCCTTCCCTTTACTAATTTTTATCTAAACATAGGCTAACCGAGAAAAAAAAAAATTATGATTTTTCTAGCCCGCCAAACAAGAGACTCAATATCATATCTTTCAACAAATACCCACAAAGATCGCTTTGTTAATCATGATTCATTAACTAAGTCTAACTATATCATGTTCAAAAATCAACGAAGTTCATAACTTTTTCATCACTTGGGTATTCTTTTTTCAGAACATTTGGTTTGAGCGTGAAGTGTGAACCGAACCCCACAAAAATCATAACTTTTTCCTTTCATTGGGAAGATACTGCATTCGGGTAGAGACCCTAATCATGAATGTTTGAAATATCCATCCAAAACAGCGCCAAATGGTACTTTAAATCGTAAAACGTTAACCAGATGTCAACGGGGTCCCGCAGGATCGAGGAGTGCCTCTCTGTCCCTGTTTCCTCGAATGGCGGGGACAAGGATCTCCATGATGATTTTTGACGGGGGGCAGATTTTACCTCCCGTCCCCGTTCCCCACCAATTAATAACAAAGTATATATTTTTTGTATCAAATATAAATAAAAATTAATTTAACACAAATAAATAAATCAAAGGGTTCGGCACAACCGCACAGGAGGCAGCAAGCAGAGGGTCTGACACAGGAGGCAGCAAGCAGAGGAGGCAGCAAGTAGAGGGTCCGGCATATGAGGCAGCAAACAACTCCAACAGCAGACCTGTAGGCTGTAGTAGATCTGTAGCAGCAAGAAGGGGTTGTGGCTAAAACCAAGAGTGAGTGAGGGGTTGTGGCTGTGTGCGTGAGTGAGGAGAAGAGGGGAAATAAATAAAGTTATGAAATTATGGTTGGAAGGGGGATTAATTAGGGTTGGAAACTTGGAACTTGTAAGGAGGATGTTGGATTGCTCGTTGGCCGGATGGGTTGGTCGGTTGGGTTGAATTAGGATACTTGGGTTGGGTTGGGTTGGGTTAGGTAAAATTTAATTTGTATTGAATTGGATTTGGGTTAGATTTGAATTTTATTTTAAATATTAAATTAAATTAATTTTGTTTTTAATTTTTCGTAAGAATGGGGATCCTCGCGGGGCGAGGAAAATTATTCGTAAAATTTCACGGGAAGAAAATGCCCCCCATTCCTGCCCCGCGAAAAAGAATATTCTTCCCGTCCCGTTCCCTGACAAGGATCCCTACGGAACCCCATGAGGATGGGGAAAAATTACCACCCCTATTAACCAGTGTCACAGTCTCAGTCACAGGGGTTATGTGTTACATAGGAGTACGGTGGTCAATTCTCTTACAAAATGACATGGTGCGTCTCTACTTTTGAATTTGATATTAACATGTGATTCATAAACCAAGATTCATAATAAGTACAAGAAAAAAGGAGGTAGGAGGAATTGCATAAACACTAATAAATCTAGAAATAGAGTTTCACATTTCATATATGAAACATGTGCTGCAACTTGCACGATTTTCTTTTAAGTTATTATTTTCTTTATAATTTTCAAAACTATTTTTTCTCTAATTCTGACCAAGAATCCAAGCACCTAATGTAAAATCAAGAAGTTTTCCCTGCTTTTTCTATTCTCATTTTTAACTAATCTTTCCTTTTGAATTTTGAATCAAATTACCTAATGTTAACTGGAGAAGTTTTTGTCCTAAAGAAAAAGTAACAATGGTAAAATATTTGATTTTTCACGTTGAGAGTTTTAACTCTAAATTAAAAAAAAAAAATGAAAAGAGGACTAAAAAAATCATTATTTTTTTATATAATTTATCATCATTTGTTCCAAAATTTAGAGATTTTCTAGTTATCCATATGGAGAATAAAATTACCATTCTCTTAGCTATATGTTAGGTTTGAGAAATTATATTTATATATAAAAAAAATACATTCTATTATAATTAAGAGATTAGTTTTTTTTTTTTTTAACAGATTTTACAAGGGCTAGATTCGAATTACAACCTGAAGAGGGGGAATGCACCATGGGTGGTTTTTGCCACTTGGCTCAAAGGGCTCGGTGCATTAAAAAATTAGTTTTTATAGCTACAATTATAAAAAAATTAAATAAAAAATACTTAAAATTATATATTTTTAATAAATTACCATAACAGAAGGTGTTTTAATATTATTTAATTATAATTTATTATAATAATATAATTTTAAATGGTTTTTTTTTTCCGGTAGGTTAATAAATATTTTTCCCATATGTGAAAGGAATAAGGAAAATTTAAGAAAAAAAAAAAAGAAAAAAGAAATCCCATGATAAGAACTGGCAGAGAAAGCGTCTGACACTGGCCAGCTATCCACTTATACCCAAAAGAGCAGAGGGAGGGAGGGGAGGGACGTTGCAGACCACAAGGTTTCTCGGCGGTTTAAGACTTTAAGCCTTGTTTGCTGACTATTCTTTAAATTCCTTCCCCATCCCTTTCTCCAGTTGCTCAGATTAAAAACAAAAGCCTATCTTTTCTCTTCCTTTAACATTCATTCAAAACAAAAGACGACCCTTTAGGAAGGAAGGAGAAAGGGGGTCATCTCGAGCATAAAGTTTCTGTATTTCTGCTCTCATGGCTTGCAAACTTGCAGATTCTATGCTCCTTTTCATGGTAAGAACTGCGTGTTTCTGTCTTTATTAAATGTCTTCTATTTATTGGATATTTTTTCAAAAGTTCTCCTCTTTTGCGTTTGATTCTCAGGGCCCCCGTCAAACTCCAATTCGGAGTCAAAGAATTGCCAGTGCTACCCATTATTCTCCAGGTTTCTAAATCTCTATCTTCATTAATCTTTTTCCATTTGGCTTGAAATTTGATATGGTGCTAGCGTTGAGCTGCATTGTACGTTTTCCATGATAAGTTATAAGCATCATTTGTTTTGTGGTCAGGTGTCTGTAATTTGAAATGGGACAGCCTTCTCCGGAGGGGAATTAAACATAAAACTGGTTTAATTCCAATGAAAAGGGCTAAAGTGGTACAGGCTGTGGCAATTCCGGTATCTCCTTCTTCGGTAGACGATGAGGAGGATAGGAAACAGTTAGCAGAAAGTTATGGCTTCAAGCAAATTGGAGAACCACTTCCGGACAATGTCACACTAAGGGATGTCATTGATACCCTTCCTAAGAAGGTATTCTTTCTATGGCTGCCTGATGCATTTGACTTACTTATTTCTGAAAGGGGGCTTAACTTGTTAGGTTGTCAAATGATGCTTTGCTGTTTTGCTCCTCAGTCATTCCATGTTATGATACTATACCTTAAGTTATGAATATTATTTGTTATTATAGACTCAAAGTGAAGTAAAAAATTTGAAAATATAAATTTGACTACCTGAATAATGATTATTGTGTTCATTTGATTTTCCAAATTTTTATTAAAAGGTATTTGAGATTGATGATATGAAGGCATGGAAGTCGGTTTTAATATCTGTCACTTCTTATGCTCTGGGGATCTTCATGATTTCTAAAGCTCCATGGTATCTGCTTCCTCTGGCTTGGGCATGGACAGGGACAGCAATAACTGGGGTTAGTTCATTCACACTGTCCCTTTTTGTTAAGTTTTTAACATTAGCCTTTTTTATTATAAATCCATATGAGATATATGTCTTTTCCAACTTTTCTGTTTCCTTTCTCCTTCCCATTTTTCAGTTCTTTGTCATAGGCCATGATTGTGCTCATAAATCATTCTCAAGGAACAAATTACTGGAAGATGTTGTGGGGACTTTGGCCTTTCTGCCGCTAATATACCCATATGAACCTTGGCGGTTTAAGCATGATCGACATCATGCAAAGACAAACATGTATGTGTGATATATTTGTTGTTTAACTGTTTCCTGTGGACCAATAACCATATCAATAATATGTTTTCACTGGCATTATCTCATCTTATAACATGGGGCTATATCCTAAAAGACAAACTCTCTTGTTATCTTATCTTCTTGTCCAGTCTTCTATCCTAATGGAAATGATTGTCTCCTGTACATAAGATTTGAATTTCTATGTCAGACATTTGGATGGTTGTCCCATGCAACAAAGATTATGGATAGTTCAAATGCATCAAAAGTGATTAAGGTGAAAGAATGAAGAGAGATCTATATATGCATCAGTATGTTGAAGTAGTCTGAAATAGTTTAACATTTTAGAGATCCTCTAGAGATGCCCTCATCTAGGTGAGCAACGGGAAAATTTCACATAACTGACCCAACTAGCTTGAAATTAACATTTGCTCGAATTTGAATTGATATTTTTCTTTAGATGGTTTAAGCGGAAAATAAATCCCAGGTATAATTTCATAAAGAGAAATATGTGGAATATATGATGCTACAACATATGTGCTCCCTGTATGCTATCTCCTGGAAAGATGAATTCCCTACTCCTTTAGCTGAGATTTTCTTTTGGGGCCAATTTAGCTGAAATAGAAACTTTCATTTTGCTGCAATTAGTGTAGTATCTAGTCTGGATTCCAACCTAATTTCTTAGACCCTGTCAGTACACTGGTTTTTCACATTGAACTTGTCTCTGTAGGTTGTATGAAGACACAGCTTGGCACCCTGTTTGGAAAGA